CCTGCCCTGGCTGGGGGTGGGTTCTCTGTGTCTGTTGCTTCTATTTTTTTCCTTTTTTATTATAGTTTTGAACAGATACAAAGACATGGAATTAGTAATTGACTTCATACAGCTCTGTTACAGCCTGTGTGTCTAAGGGAAGCAGTGCCATTTCAGGTGGCAGTTGCAGTCATTAACTGCATGTCTCATCTGGGCTGAGTTTTTCATCTGCTTTCATAAAGATAAGGGATTGCTGTATTTATGCATGGTTATGCTATTAAACAGCTGCTGGTTTTGAAACCACAGATTTTCTGTCTCTCAGTTTGACAGTCTACCCTTAACATTTAGCCTTCAAAATAGTTCAGATTGGAAGTGGCACTGGAAAACTGCTTAAAAATTGTTGAAAATGTTAATGAAATGTGAACTAAAAATGTCAGTTCTGAGATCTTACCCTTTCTTTCTTTTTAATGCAGGTGTCTGTGACTAAAGCTGACAGGTCCTTGGGCTTTGCCATTCAAACATGCTTTGTTTCTCCATTTTCAAATCCAGATAGAATGTCTGACTATACCATTATAGAAAATATTTGTCCTAAAGATGAATCTGTTAAATTCTACAGTATTGAGAAGGTGAATTTTCCAATACCACATGCACAGAAGGACAAAAAAAGATTTAGCTTTGTGTTTAAACCAATGTTCAACATCTCACTGCTCTTTCTTCACTGCGAGTTGACTTTGTGTACAAATAAAGACAAAGATACTCAAGGACTGCCAAAGGTCAGTAATTTATTAAAGTTAAAACTTCTGATTTAGATGAAAATAAGCTAATGTTTTTCATCTGAACTCTGCAGTGAATAAATTGTTTTCTATGGAATTGATGTAATGAACGTGATCTCTCTAGGCTCAGGATTTTAATAGATAAGAGTTGTTATACTGTGCATTTTGACTACATAATTTACAGTTTCTGTTTAAATTTCATTAGATGGTTATGAATAGAAATTGCTTTTTATTGCACAAGTGGTTCCAGTTTCTTTGCTATCCATGTCACATCCATATCCAAAGCACAAGCGATGTTAGCTTTCATTTCCAGACATGCGTCATACCAGATAATATTGTCATCTGATTGCTACAAAAGAGAATTGCCAAATTTGCCTTTGGAAGTAATGGAAATGTCCACAAATTAGTAGTTAATGAATGTGTTCTAAGAATTCAGAATTTATTTTTACTTTGGAGCTTATGCACGTTCCCCTTAAAATGTATTTTTTAAAGATTACTTGTCATTGTTTATCAACACTTGTTGGTGAATATGATTTTGGCTACCAGATTTTTTAAAAACCATCCTGAAACAAAGTAATTACTATCCTTTAAGTTTAATAGTAACATTCAGAAAGGTTAGAGGATTCTTAATGAAGGCAAAGGTTGCATCCTGAAACACAGCTAAGAATTACATTTGCCAGTGCATTACATGGGGGTTGTTGGGAGATTCTCCTTTTTTTGCTAAATCATATAGGATAAAGCTGGTAATGAGGCAACTGTGTAACTGGCACAGCTGTCCTGGCAGACAGGTGACTCTCTGACCTCACACACTGTGTTTTCCACTCACAGTGCATTCCTCCTGATGAAGCTTGCACCTCTCTCAATGTGGATATGATCTTGGCCATGATGCACAACAAGAAAACCTTCACTAAGCCCCTTGTAATAACACATGATGGAAAACAAGAAGGTATGAAATTGAGCTTGAACTGCTTGATGAAGCTATATATATTATCTTATGTAACATATAGCTGCTTGAAATGAGGGAGTGCTCCAAGTATGTGTCATTGTGTAATCCTTTGGTGATAGTGTCTGTAAGATGTTACTTGTTTAGACATTTCCCTGGCAGCAGTCATCATGGCAGTTCTGTCTTTATTGATCTCTGGACATTTGGTTTTGCCAGGCATTGAGAAAGGAATACTGTACTACACAATAATATGGGTTTTGGAAGTGCGAATGTAGCAGTAGCACTTGCAGCAACTTCTTGTTGCCCGGAGATCAAAGACAGTGCTCTGCTCCCTGCTGTGTCATTTATTGTGCTTGTAAATACAAGTTTTGGAATAACAACAATGGAATTGCAAAGCATTGAGGATGCTAAAACCCGATGAGTTTGTAAAGCAAAGAGGTGGCCACTGGAGGCTCATTAGTCTGCTAAAATATTAAAAGCAAAAGGTGCACAAAGGTGCTCCACTTTGGTGGGACTTGTTTGACTATGTAGTATTTAATGAAGTGTATTGTGAGATAATGGCAAATGGCATGATGAGACTGTACTCTAGCTTAAGAATATGCCCTGTGAGTGATGCGAAGTAAGAATTGTTTTTACAATTTGATTTAATTTGGAAGTTTTTCTTTGTAGATCACTGACAACAGCATCAGTCATGTTGTTATGCATTTGTATAAAAAAATATATGTGTGCTATCTTTTGGTTTTGTATTAGCATGGTAGTTTAATCAGAAGCTTCAGTGGCTTCATGTACACATCAAAATCTTCCAATTGTATCCAAAGGCTGTTTGACCTTTTGAATACTTCTTGGGGAACATCAAAAGGATGAGGATCAGAACTCCTTTAACCTCTGTTGTATGGTGCATGCTTTTTAGTCTTCAAACAATTTGAAGTGCCATACAGCACTGACAGGGGTCATAAGCAACAACTGTTTCTGTTAACTCTGTAAGTCAGCTCATGTTTAGTTTTGGAGAGTTTTTTTACAAATTTGTTAGCACAGATCAAATCCATCACGAATTAAAGGCAAATATCTGATCTGTCACTGTGTTACAATTAAAACTGTGCTTTGGGCCTGATTCTGTGCTTTCTTTTTTTGCACGGCTGTCTTTTTATTTCAATGGAGTTTCTATTAGGAATGAGTAAATCCTGCAACTGGAATTCAGCTTTCAATAAACAGACTCGTACTCTCAGCTCTCTTGCCCTTATGATGTGTGGAGCATTGTGCTCAGCTCCCATCTTGGGCTCCTCTCAGAATGTTGTCTTTGTCAGAGGCACAAGGTCGTAGTGTGCAAAGGCAAGCTAAATTTATAAAGATTATTTACAAGACAACGGTGTGATAGAGTATTTTGTTGCATTGTGGGTGATTTAGTCTAATTGTGGGACGTTTGGTGGAAATCTCCTCAGCATGTCCCAGCTTTCAGCCATAATACAAAGTGGCACATTAACAACGTAGCTTTGTTGGTATGCAGTTGTTCTGCAGTGAATCAAGCAACCCCTTCCTTAAAGCCAAATGACGTTTGTGGCCAATATATGAACCTAAGATTTGGAGAAGAAATTCTATCACTTTACTGAATAGGAGAATTTACCTCTCAGAGGTGGTGTTCTTCATTTTCTTTGATGTGAACAGAGCAGCTTTTGTTGTTATAAACCAGTCTGTGTGAGGTACTGCCACAGGATCTGCTCACCAAGCCACACGTGAAAGTTATGCACTTGGCATTTCAAAAGTCTATGCAAAGGTGGCTTTTTTCACCTTCACACATAAGTTTGTAACTGTCATTGACTGTATTAGAAATCACAACAATGTATCTAAATGAGAATAACTGTTTCTTCCCTTCTAATTTTGTTAGTTACAAACTGGTTAGTTATATTGTTGCAGTAGATCTCAATGGAAGTATCTAAAACCTAACTCCATGGCATTTCAAAAGTCTATGCAAAGGTGGCTTTTTTCACCTTCACACATAAGTTTGTAACTGTCATTGACTGTATTAGAAATCACAACAATGTATCTAAATGAGAATAACTGTTTCTTCCCTTCTAATTTTGTTAGTTACAAACTGGTTAGTTATATTGTTGCAGTAGATCTCAATGGAAGTATCTAAAACCTAACTCCATGTTCTTTTTTTTTATTCCTGCATTTCACACATGTGCTCTCCCCCACTTCAATGAAAGGCATATAGATGTCCATTTCAGTGCTAGGAAATACATATTTTTCTGTAGAAATAGTCTCCCACTGTCATTGTTCAGATTTTTGCTAAGTGTGGAAACTTTAGATTGTTATTTCTACAGCAAAAGGAGACAGGTCATAGAAAGGAGGTCAATGGGCAGCTAACAATGCCTCTGTCCTACAAAGGTATAGAAAATTATGATAATTCTACAGGCTGGCTGCTGATGTTTTTAAATTATGTTTTTCATGGACCTCAAGTAGTCTCACTGCTTCTGAATTGCTCTGAGCAAACCACAATAAAGTGCATATAAGAACTGTGAGACTGGGGAGAATTGATAATGGGCTACAGAGCTTATCATTAGCAGATTTCATATTCTCTGTAGAGAGGACAGTGATAGAATGAGCATGGAAAATTCATTCTCCCCTCAGCTCAGATGGCATTTTCTTGGCATTTTGGGATATGTTAGTGGAGTGTTTGGACAATCTGATAGTGCCCTTACCCATGTTTGTACTTTTCAGTGCTCCTTGGTTTCAGTCCAGCCCTCCTGACAAATCTTACGTTCAGTTACAATGTCACTGCTATGTGAGCTTGATGACTTTCAGCTTATTTGTGCATGCACCCCACACACACAGTCCCCTCTGTGTTCTCACCTGTTTCCTACTCCTGTTCCACCTGTTTCCTCTAATCTGCCAAAAGTGATCTGCAAAAGATAGTTCTGTGTTAGAATAAGTGACAAATGTGGTTTTGGATTGTGTAGGCACATTTGTCTCAGAGTATAATGATCTAAAGGATATTGCTGAAAGTTTAGTGCTGCCATCTGGGTTTTAGAGGTTAGAAGCATAGTCTTGGTTTAAAAGTACTTTAAATAAATAAATATATTTATTTTCACTATTTTTGAGCTCCTATGCTTGCATAGCAATTAGACTTTATTTTTTCCAGTTGATAAAGATACAAAAACAAGTATTGAGACACTGTCTTATCAAATCCTTTTACATCTCTTGCACTGAACACACTCAGATATGCCAGAATTTAAATGAGATCCCTGGGTTACTGGGCAATCCAGTGTCAAACTGCAGCTAACCAAACAGGTCCTTGAGTCTCAAGTCAGAATCTCTGGCTCTTCTGCTTGAGGTAGCATTCTTGGAGAAAGATAAGAGAAGCCAGTTAAGCCAAAGAAGGGAAAACTCTTCATGTTTAAACACTTGTTTACTTGTCTTTCTGTAACATGCTGATAATGATGATGTTATTTGATATTCTTGCCAAGAATAATAGCTTTGATACAATAGCTATGATCTTTTATTTCTTGTATGTAATTAAAAAACCAAAACAAAACAAAGAAACCATGCAACTTCCAAGACAGAATACCAAGTAGGATGCAGGAAAATGGATGAATCAACACATGTTCTTGCAGTTTGGACAGAACACTGTGTATAGTGCCATAAAACTCAGTATTCTTTAGAGGTGATAGCAAGTGCTAGATTTTGTGTGCTTGTGTGTGTGTGATCTGGCATGCTGGTATCTCATATTTGTGATTAGTGAGTACTCAGGTGAATATAATCACCTTAAAACAGCCTTCACAATCTGTGTTTTCTGAGTTATACATAGGGACAATCAGAGTTGTGGGTCAGACCTGACAACATCTGGGTTGGAAAAGATAGCAGTGGATTTGCACAAAATATGCATAAACTATACTGCAGATAGGTTTCCTTGAGGAATTATCAATATATTAATAGAATTTTTCTGAGATGAGTGAGATTATTGAATTTAGGCTGGTTTTCCTGAAGTTCCTGGTTTGTAAAAATTACAGTTAATATCTTTCTGTCAGATCAGAACCTGCATTATTTGTGGACTGTGTGTGGAACTCTATCTGATTAATGTTTTATCGGTTTTGTTTTTGTTGTCTTTTTTCTTAAAAATTTAGATCCTTCCCTTCCAAATCCAAATGTGAGACAGCCACGTAAGTAACTCTTAAACCAATCTCTTTTAAGCTTTAAATGTTTGTCTAGAAAGCATTAGATAAATTATGGAAATTATCTTCAGGCTTTCTGAGTGTTTCGTTCTGAGACAGAACAGAATTCTGACTGTATGGCTGATTGAGAGATTAAAAGAAAAGGGCTGTGACCTTTTGTGTATGTGAAGATCCAGTTTGGGAAAACACCACTGCGAGTCTCAGCCTGAGCAAGTTCGTTTGCTAATGTGTGTGCATTATTTCTCTCTTCTCTGCTGAGGCAACTGCTTCCCAATACCAGTGTTTCAGCAGCAGTGCCATCCTACAGAGCTCTTGGGTCCTACCTGGGTCCTACTCCAAGGCACCCAGAAAGGAGTCCTGGAGGCCCTCGCCAACAGGAACTGCTGGAGAAGATGTTTGTCAAAAGAGGATGAGGGATGTCCTTAGGGACATCTGCTCGATGCAGGAACATGTGAAATGAGGGTGTTGGTTGCATTCTGAGAATTGAAAATTCCACTGAAGGATACTACTGAGATCTAGTCAACTCATTTCCTGGCCTGCATCATCAGTAAAATGGTATTCGCTGGCTTAAGCCATTTTGTGCACTGGGAGATATTGGAAATACTAAAACCAGAAATCAATTTTGTAGGAAGAAATTTCCCCAAATGATTGCTGAAAGAGTGAATAGTATTTTTTGAAGCATTTTTAATTACCAAAAAGAAAAACACAGAAGCTGGAAGTTTTTCTGTTTGGATGGGGGTAGCATGGGGGACAGCACATCCAGGAACGAGATGCAATTACCCTTGAAATGGTCCTACAAAGGGGCCTCTCCCCTGGAAAGTGATTTACATGTGTGTGTGTGTGTTTCTATTTTTGTGTTCTGGAATTAATTTCAGTGATTGAAAGCACTGCCAAATGTGAAAAACAATTGTTTCTATTTATGTTTTCGCTGACTTTTTGCTGGCATCTCTTCCCTCTTAACAGCAGTTCCGTTCTCCACCTAGATTTCAGACTGAACTTGCAGGAGATGTAGGGGAAAGTTTGCTTGAATGTGAGGCCATTTAAATGGAAAGCATCTTTTGCCAAAAATCTCAGCCTTTTCAAAACACGTCTGAGAGAAATGAATATTTAATCAAAAGCAAGTTATTAGCAGCCAACTGATAATGCTTCGTTTTTGCAACATTTTCCAGATTTAGGTGTGCTGAGCTGGGGATTTGTGATGTGGAACAGTTGGTTGGACTGAAGCCAGTCTCTGAAAGCATCACTCTTATTTCCTGGATGCAAATCTGCTAGTCTGTTCCTTAAAATGGTGCTTAATTAACTATGATTTTTTTTAAAACTTCCATGAAAGTGTAAGGGTGGATTTTTGTAAAACAGTATCTGCCACTGCAAATGAAATATCCCTATTATGTGTGTTTACCTTTGCAGCTGTGTTCTACGGCCTGGACACGCTGACTGTGGTGGGCATTGCCTTCGCGGCGTTTGTGATCGGAGCCCTGCTGACAGGAGCTCTCTGGTTCATCTACTCTCGCACAGGTAGGAATGAGGGCTCTTACACAGCTCAGTGCAGCTCGAAACAGTGTGCTCTGAACTCTTGCAAGGTGCAGGGGAAAGGGAGGAGGGCCAGCAATGGCTACCTTGGGCTTTTTCTTCTTGCTCTCTCTTCTTACAGTTTTCCACAGCTCCTCCCATGAGCCTGTATTGCATATCAGCCAATTGATACCCACCCTTCCCTAAAGGGAAGTGTTACACATTATCCCTAGAGCATGCTGGGCTCCCAGCTACTTCCACTTTTGACCCGCAAGACCTTACCAAGCCCTCTAAGATGTGAGGAAAATGCAAGGTCAATTACTCCAAACCTGTGCAGCTGTGAAGCACTGGGATTCACCTATAGCCCACTGCAGGGTTCTTTTGGCATCTAAAACCTCATGGAAGCTATTTAGGAGTGAGAATCCAGCCCTGTTGGGTCAGAGCTTCTGTAAGTATTATGACCTGAGAGCTCATGTTAACTGGGAAAAAAAAGTGTGGGTTTTTTTTCCAGTTGGCAATACAACAGTTTTATATAAGCAGTTTATTACTTTTCAATGCATCAGCTGTATATGAAACTTGTTTGGAATTGAGGCAAATGTGGAAAATTTAAAGGTTGTGATAGTATGTATAAATTGTATAATTCTGTGTCTCACACTACTGAAACACTGTAGAATAAAAGTAAGCACAATTTCAGTGAGTAAATGTGTAAGTTAAGAAAATAGTTTCCACATAGGTAACCTTTATTAACAAACAAATAATTAAAACAACTCTTAAAATTAATATCTTTTGTCCTGCATTTGTGGAAGTTCAATCTCTGTTCATATACAAAACTATCTGTAGACACAAGTTGTGTGTCAGTAGTCATGGAACACTGGGAAGCCAACAGGATAAGTCCTTCAGCAACAATAGGACGTGGACCAATCCCATTAAAAGAATTGCTTTAGGAAAGTACCTCACAGTGGCCACATACAAATAGCAAAGAGGGCAGCTGCTCTGGCTTTGTGTCTGAGGGATGAAAGTAAGTGGAGTAAAAGGCCAGACAAAAAGTAACAAATGAGAATAAAAGAAAGGAAGGGGACACTAACTCATCAGATTAGAGAATCACAGAAATTATAAAAATCATCTAGGAAGTTACCTGGTTCGGTTTTTCAAAGGACTCTGAAAGTGAACCTATGTTCCTGTGCACATAATTTTTCTGTGCATGGTATCTTGTCTCTACAAAGCACAACTTGCAGCAGAGAGCAGCGAAGGCTCTGGCAGGGACAGTCTCTTAGAAGACAACTGCTGTGGCAGACAAGATAATCCAGCTGCAGTGGAAACATTTTTGAGCTGGCTGCAGACTTTTATTAACATAAGGATGGGGGGAAAAAAAGATAATCTAAATTTCATCTACAGAGTGGCTGTCTTTTGCCATTAGAAAATTTATGCATTGCTGAATCGTGTTCTGAAATCTCATCTTTTGTTGCAAGTAGTACTGAGTTTCTAACACATGATTTAGACCAAAGGTTGGAAAATATGAGTTCATTCCAAAACTGTGTTTTGCTGATACTCAGAGCATGGATAAAAGCTACTGCTGGTAGAGAGTGGCAACTTGGGATGTGCAAAGGTATTTCTGTTGCTGTAGTGCTACATGCAATGCAGCAGAAGGCCACCTTTTGCCAGTAGTGAGGAGATTTGCTGGTACACTTTTATCAGCATGTCTCTGCTGGCAGAGTCATTGTAGCATGGAGAAAGCAGTACATGAATGAGCTCTTTTGCTCATCTTGTTAGGCCATTCACATTGAAACTTCAAACAAGTGGTAGCAGAAAGGAACTACAAAATAGGTAGAATTTAGATATTGAACAAGGATTGTTGTATTATTTTTCCCATGTGGGGCTTTTGCTGATTTCAATCTTGAAAAATTTCTGCCAAAGCAACAAAATTTTGCTTTTGAATACTTTAGATTTTCAGAACAATTCAACATGCAGTACAGATGTCCTAAGGTACACGGGTAGTAAGAGAATGGAGAGGGAAAGCTATATATTAGAACAACAGAGGAGGAGTTTTAGCTGACTTTTCTGCAAATAGACTCTGTATTTTTGATCCTTTCTCTAGTCAGTTAAAAGACATAAAAGGTGTTGGTCCTGCCTGGAGAGGACTCAAGAACAGAAGGAAATAGCAGAGATTTGCCACAATTAACCCCATTTATCTGAGGGTCTTGCAGAGAAGCAAAAATTTAGCAGGGTGCATGGATGCAGAAACCCTTCAAAATGTAACTATTCCAATATGTCTCAATGTAATATCTGTCTTAATAGTGTGTTTAGGAAGGGACACGTACAAGTCTGATTAGTTAATTTGACTGTTAAACCAAGTGAAGTGTGTTAAAGAGAACATCCGTCCCTGTATTCCCTTAGGAAGTGTGCTTTCCTTCTGCAGGCAGTGGTGCAAGTTAGGAGGATAAAGTGTTCCAAAATCAGAGAAGTTAAAAGCGTCCCTCCTCCCCCACTTCTCCCTTTTTTTTATGGGATCTGATTTAAAGTAAACTGACATAGCAACCAATTATATTTGGCAAATGGAGATAGAAAAGCAAACATTCAGACTTCCTGGACAGGGAGTACAACTGGCAGCTTTCCTAAGTGTGAATAATAAAGTGCATGTTGTTGCATTCAGATGGGTAAAAGCTTGTTTACTGTCAATAGATGAGACGTGTCCATTCTGAGCAGTTCTGCTTCAGTAACATGAGATACGTGAAGCTGTTTACATGAAAAAGACAGATGGAGAATGCCTTTTCAGTGATAGTTTACATTTCTTTACATCCTTTTCATGAATATTCTTTTTTGAAGAGCTTTGCTACAGATGAGCTAGGTGTTGAGGAAATAAAATCCAGGAAAAATCAGCCAGTCCAGATGCAGTTGCTAGGCTGTGTTCATAACATCACTGTGATTTGGATTATTTTTTCCTTGAGGACATCAAGAATTTGTTATTGTTCAACAAGTGATTGTGGTATGTTAGAGCTGCTGATAGTGCTCTGGAAATGAGGTGCTGCAGAGACCATTGAATTGTGGTGGAAGGAAAGGGGCTCCCATCGCAAACGGAAGGGAAGGTGCCTCCTAGGACACTTTACAGAGGAGTGAGAACAGGAGAGTGAGGCCTTGGGCTTGCTCGGGGACTCTGGCACTGCACTTTCGCTTTGCCATAAAATAAACCCAACATGGCTTTAGTTTAAAAATGAATTCGTGGTTAATGTGCACAGATTGTATTGACGTGCCAAGGCTGATGCAAAGCTGTGTGTAACCGTGTGGTTTGTAGGACGGTGACAGCAGAGCTGCAGGGGGAGAGACTGGGGCCCTGCTTGGGGGAGCCCAGCGGCCCTTCTGCGCCGCCTGAGCCGCTTCTCCTGGGCTGGGACTGGGGCTTTCCCTCCTCCCCTTGCTGTTTTCTGATGTTTGCGTTTGCTTGTTTTGTTTTAGTGCAAGGCAGTTTGCTTATCACTGCCTTCATAAATATATCCTGTAGTACGAAAGGAAGGAAAACTTGTACACAAACAACTCGAGGAGGAGGGAGCAAGTCAGGAAGGGAAGAAAGAGGCATCCAAACAAGGCTTATGAAAGCTTTTACAGCATGGTGACACAGACTTTGATTTGATGTAGTTTATTCTGATGGATTGGAAAGCCATTTTCAAAGAAAGTTAGAGCTGAAACTTTATTTATTTGCAGATGACTGGGAGTAGATTCTGACCGGTTGCCTGTGAGCAGAAATCCAGTGCTCATGAGTGAGCTACATTGTTATTTCTTACACTGGGAAAAATAGAAGCAAATTCTGCTCACGAGAGTAAATGCTGGACTGAATGCTGAATTTAAAAGCAAGATCTTCACTCTCTTTTTAAACATTTCATTGGTCTCCTGGGTAATGTGGTTTAGTAGTTTAGTTTGTTGTTTTTCTGTCATGTCCCATCCCTTTTTTCCACCCCATTCCTAAACCAGTGGGGTGTAAGGCAAGAGCTGTATGTTTTGGGGCCTTATGTGCACTTTTGCTGTGGCTGTGGCTCGAGCTAGCAGCAAACCTGCTGGTTTCTCTTACACAGAGCAATTGCAACCTCTGCTGTGAGAAATCCTCAGACCTCCTTTGTAGCAAACCTCTGAAAACTGAGCAGCCTGCAAAAGGGTATTTTGTGGCCTGAGACACAAAGCGTTAAAGACACACTTCCTCTGCAGCCACATTCCAAGGAGCTCGGGCTCTGGCAGCTGGGCAGCACACAAGGCATGGGGATGTGCCAGAGCAGCTCCTGTGGGAGGAAGCTGGCTCGTCCCTGCACTGTAACCCTCTGCACACAGGCTGTGCCTCCAGCCTTCTACCTGTCACTGAGGCAATCACTGAGGAATGGGATCTCTACCAAATTCTGAATATAGAAGAAAAATTGGACTCTGCAGACCTGGCCCCTGGCATCAGGTTCTGGATAACTCAGGGTAATGTGAAGCAGGAGATACACATCGCTACAACCTCATGAGGCAGAAGATGTACTTGCCTTTGATTTTTCCTAGTTGCCTCTACCCATGATCTGGCAAAACATTTCTGTCTTGCTCCTTTGCTGGGAAAGCAGCAGTGCTGGTGCTGACTGCCACGGCAGGTCTGCAGCTCAGGCAGCAGCAGCAGTCTGACTGTGTTACTGCACGGAGATCACAGGTTCACATCCTGAGAGATGAGCTCAAGGGAGGGGGCAGCTACAGTGCACATTATATAAACTCGAGTCTTGCCATCTGTTTTGAAGAGACTATTTTGTCATATCGCTAAGGTTACAGATTTGAGCACTGTAACTTCAAAAATGCCACAGTTATGGATTCTTACATGGCATCATTATGATCTTTTAATGGCACAATTTTTACTTTGATGCTTAGTTGAGAGCTGAGTTTTTCCCATGGAATCCTAGCCACAGGTGCAGAAGGGGTGTGAGGAGAGCAGACAGAAATCCAGGTTTTATCAGAAGCCATAAATCTGGCTTTAATTCCTAGTGCTTGATTTGGCAATCTAAATAATGAAAGGCTTTTCATTTGTTGTCAGTAAACAATTAGCAAGAAATGGTGAGACATGTTCTCACTACAGGCTGTAAGTGCTGCACATACTGTGGTAGCTATAGGGGAGCTTCCTGCATGTTGTATTAGGAGTAAATCAAGTCAAGCTTGCAGGATAGCCTGTTGTTTTTCTATGTGAAGAAAACTGGCTGTGTCTCAGGATATGTGGTATCCAGCTGATTGGAGAACATTGTCTTCAGCTCCCCTCTTAGTAAATATGCTGCTCTATAAACTGGCATTAAAACTAAAGCCTACATTTCATTGCCCTTTTTCCTGGAAAGAGCAAAGCTATGAAGTGATCTGAGTCATGTAACAGGATCCATTTGAGTGACAGCTGGCAACAGAAGATAGGTGGTGTCTATCTTGGTAGCTTCCATCAGCTGCTTTTAAAATGGTAAAAGAAACAATGGTGTTATTTCCCCACGTGTATAGCAATGCTAAGGTGCCAAAGTCTACTAACATTTCCAGCAATACTCTGTTTTGAGGTCTGTCACCCAATATATTAATTGCATGGAAATACAGACCACCAGAAGAGGAAGACTGGGAAGGAATGGATTATGGTTTTCTATGGCATTGAACATTTTCAATTTTCCTTCTCCTGACCCCACTTTTTCTCTTCCCTTTCCCTCAGGGGAAACAGCAGGAAGACAGCAGGTCCCTACATCCCCTCCAGCCTCTGAGAACAGCAGTGCAGCACACAGCATTGGCAGCACACAGAGCACCCCCTGTTCCAGCAGCAGCACCACCTAACCCGGGGGGACACAGCTGAGCAGCAGCATAGGAGCACAGAGGTTCCAAGGACTGTGTGTGAACATCAGCTGTTTAAAGTTAAAAGGATTGGTTTGATTGCTTCTGGAAAAGTTGAGGAGGCATTTTTCTACAGGAAAAAAAAAGACTGATTTTCTTTTGGGGAAGCCACTGTGTGTGTGTGTGTGTGTGTATATGAGCACACAATGAATGAGTGAACACAGCCTGTTGGATCTTGTTAGCATGTTATGCTACATGTGACAAAGCTACTAATTTTACAGTACTGCAACCTGTTCTAGGGGTCTGTGGGCCCTCAATGTGAAATCTGTGCCAGTTTGGAAATATGCTGCTTTGTCTAAATGATTTTTTTTTCTTTCCCTGAACCTTCTCATTGGCACAAGGTATTCATGAAGGGAATTCAATCATAGAATGTTTTGGGTTGGAAGGGACCTTAAAAGATCATCTAGCTCCAACCCCTCTGCCATGGGCAGGGACACCTTCCACTAGCCCAGGTTGCTCAAGCCCTGTCCAACCAGGCCTTGAACACTTCCAGGGATGGGGCATCCACAGCTTCTCTGGGCAACCTGTTCAGTGCCTTACCACCCTCACAGTAAAGAATTTTTTTGTAATATCTAATCTAAACCTGCCTTATTTCAGTTTAAAGCCCTTGTCCTGTCACTACTTAAGATAAGCAGAGCAATGATGATCTTAGGTCAAAGGATTTCTGTTTGTCTAAGCAAGAAAGCCTCAAGGTCAGGTCTCTTTGGTTAATAACATTTTTATTACTTCAGCTACATTTAGCCACTTCTGAGTAACCTTTGTTTTGTTCAGCTTACAGCAACAGCATCTCATTTGCTTTCCTGTTGTATTTGCAGCTTCAGGTTTGTTCCAGGTATTTTTGTTGTAATATGCATTGATTTGCTAATTGGAAAAGAGCACACTCTAACATTCCCTCTCTTGTTTTTCTTTTGGGCCAAAGCTCTTTAGTAAGAGATTTTTTTCATCTGCTATACCAAATACAGGCACACACAAACATTAAGACAAAGAATGGTCTTGTGCACTAACATAGATGTGTGTGTATCTTTAATGTCAGTGCCTTTATGCAAATAGATGTACACCCAGGTATACAGAGCCTAAGTGCCATGTTAACAATTGGAAATTATCTCAGTGTCCCTTCCAGACATAAAATAGATTGTGCATATATATATATATATATATAAAACCTGTCTCTTCAGTTTATAATAGGTAGATAGAGGAGGTAGAAAAGTTGATTCGGTTCTAACCCTTTAGTTAGCCCAAATTCCCTTTGAAATAAGAGACAGGGTTTTTTTCACAAGAGGGTTTGAGGGCACAGAGACTCTACAGTAGAGCCTGTTGTTTGTGCAGAATATTGCCTATCAAAGTGAAGCTATTCTCTGAAGAGAGTTGTGCAGTTGTTTGCAATGTTCATAAAACAATTTGACACAATTGGCTAGTCCCAAAGTAGTATCAGAATATGGAAATGGCAGGAAGGTACTAATTGTCACAGTATTTTTTAGTGTTGTTGCCTTATCTTGATCTTAAAATCGATGCCAAATGAAAAGAAAAAGATGACACTTTTAATGTGTAATTGTTTGACTGTTAGTTGCCACTTTGTAATTGTAATGTGTTCTACTGATCCTTCTCCTCTGAGGAAAAATGAGCATTGTTTTCCTCTAAAAAATGAGATGAATAACTTTCATTAGTTGTAGTGAAGGTTACCTGTGTTCTGCAAGAGAGGAAGGGAATTCATTACACTCGAGTGATAGTCTGCTCTGAAGTCTGAGCTGCAGATTTCTTTTGCTCATTTTACACTTGTGCCTTGCTGATGCCAGGATAGTCGAAGTGCAAGATATGCAATAGATGTAAGTGCACAGGATCAGGCAGAATATTACTCACTTTAAATCAAATCTGTTACTAATCCTGCAAACATTTACACATATGAGTAACTACATGCCTCGTCCTTGCTAGTAGAAGCACATGCTCAACTCTGCGCACCACAAAGTGGTCTCAGTGTCCATGCAGGTAGTTGGTGTTACAGAGTTACACATGCAGAAGTGTTTTATGTTACCAGCCCAGTGAGTGGCCCTGGTAAGATGGAGAGGGTTGTCACGTAAGGGTAGTTATCCCCATGTGTAAGGGTATGCAGGATTGGCTGTTACGAGGTGTCAAGAGGATGAATGTGATACCTGTGTGGTTGAAAAGAAAGCGCTTTGCCTAACCTTCAGCAGAATGTATTGTATAAGCATATTCTATGTGTAAAGTCTTTAAAGATGTCTTCAAAGAAGACTAGAGTCTTTAAGTTCAATCATAGCTATATTTTACTACATTAAATTTCTGTATAAAGATATATTTAAATGTTTTAGATAAATGTAAGTTACTCTATATGAAATGTTTAATTTCAATTACTGTGAAATTTACGTATTTTGTAAATTCTTTTCCCTGTTTTAACCCTTTCCTTCCTCAGATATTTTATTAAGTAGTTTCTCATAGGAAGTATTAGAGTTGATTGTTGGGATGGACAGGTTGAAAACTTCTATGTAAAATAGATACTTGTATATTTTTGAGAGAAACATTGCTGCATTATCAATATTTTTATCAAAAATTTAATTTTAAAATAATTTACAGATTTATATCTACTGTTGGATATGCCAAAAATATATAAAGGTCAAAGATTCGATCTGTTGACTTGCATTTGAAATACAGTTTAAATTAACTGAACTTGGTGTACTCAGCTACTTAATTCAGAAATTTTCGTCCGTCTGAGTTACTTGTCTATTGGAGGTTACCAAAACTACATATAGTAACTTAGCAGATGGACCAGACATTTCTGCTTAAATAGAGAGAAAACCAAATATGGACATTCCCAGTTAATAGCTTTATTATAAAAATGTGCAGTACTTTCCAGCAGCTGTTAAGCTGCCTCAGTTCACCATACAAATACACCTATAAGCTTGATTTTGATAGCAGCCATTTGTCTCTGCTGCAAGTTTCTCTGTGCAGTGTGGCAAGCTCCTGATGTGTAACTGCTAAGCCACGGGCTCCCACCTCTGTCCAGCCTGGTCTCGTTGCACTGGACTCACATGGCAGATCCCCGTGGGGTGTGGAAGGCCAGTGAGAAGCTTTTATCCCAGCACAGGGTGTCAAAACAAGGCCTTGGAGAGATGGACTCGGTGGCCAATTTCAGCGTGGTGGAATCAGCTGCGAAGGAACTTCTTATCTAAGAATGGGAGGATTGGGCTTACAAGGGACACCTCCTGCCTGTAAAAGCTATTAGTAATGTACTTAAACTCCAAAGTAGACTGTTTGTTCTGTCATGTGCCATCTAATCACTAACTAACCTTTTACAGCATTTGGTTTTGGACGTTACTATATACATGTTTCAAGAGGTCAGAACTTTCTGTGTTAGTCTATTTTTGTAGCATTTTCCACATGGAAATGGATTTTGCAAAATGTCTGTAGATGCTGATGATTGTAACCTTCCCCCTGCCCTTTTCTAACCATTTCTCTCCTGTGTGTACCATTCTCTCTGTTATGTATATCTACCTCATGCTTCACAAGAAGACTGTACTGTTGGTTGTGCTGACAGCCCTTCGTGTGAGGTGACTGTTCTGCCCTGTTGTTGTTTGTCATTTGTTGGGATGTTCATTATCAGATCTTTGCTGCCATGTTCCTACCAGTTCTAAACACAATATTCTCACCTTTGAGTAAATAAGTGTATTTCTTTAAGATGCAATTGCCAGATGTTTTTTTAAATCAAAGAATGGGAGAAATTTATTTGCCAATGCCTGTGGCCAGTCTGAACACCCTATTTGTATTTCACATTACAGTCAGTATTTCAGAGACTTCTGGAAATGCATAGTTGTACAGTTTTGATAACCACAGTGTCATGTCATCTTAGTCTCTTGTGCATAATAAAGTATATATCAATTTATTAATAATTGATGCTGTGATTCATTTATTTGAAGTTGTACAGAGTCAGCTGCAGTAGATCAAAATTTTGTCTCGTGGCCCTGTCTACACATCCCAGAAACTTCTAAAGGCAGGATTTGGGTTTGTATGTCCACCTGTTTTCAGCTTTCTGTGTTTGTTTATCCATTGGCTTTGGATGAGTTCTCAGTGTCATGGTTTCTTGCAGAAACCAGTAGATATATTTAGTTAAGTGCTGCTGTTCTTCACTCTAATTTGAAGTCCAGAGCTCTAATCCTGTGGGTGTTTAGCTGTTGCATGTGAAGACACAGCCTCAGTCCAGTCCTGCACAGTGCCTGTCTTGAGCACAGTCAAGCCCAAGGGTGTGCAGCAGCAGAGCACCATGGGCTCTTGTACCCTTGACTGCAGGTACACTGGAGACATGTGAGCAAGACCATGTTTTCATAACTGAAGGGTCTTCCTGTGCTGGAGCACATAGTTTGGCTGCATACCAGCAGGACAAGGATTTGTGTGTTTACTGTCTTGTTTATTGCTTTGTTTCCTGTATTTCATGTGCAAAATATTCTTTATGGGTACTTGAGGGGAGTCAGCCTCAGCAGTATTTCCCTGGGTTATTCAGAGGTTGTGGTTATTGACTCAATAAAAGAGTTCCCTAAGAAGGAAACCTAAAATGTTTAATGATCATTTTTAAAAACTAAGATTCCTTCAGTACAGAACAGGCTATTAATTAGAAGCAGTTCTAAGCTCACATATTGCCAATGGCTTACAATTCACAGAGGTGCAATAGATTTATTGCTTCATTACAACCATATATTCAGTTTCTGCATTAAGACAATTTTGTTTTCCTGTGGAAATGAGTTCTATAGAGCTGACTCAGCTTAAAGATGCTGGAGCTGCTGTTCACCTTTGCCCCTAAGATTTGTATTTTGACTGAAAAGTGGTGTGAAAACATGATCAGTGTCTCATATGAAGAATTAATTTTAAAATGCAATAATTAGCCGACAAATGTTGGTACACTCACAGGAGTATTTTTAGACGTTTAGAAGTAAGAGTCT